GCGTGCCTAACGTGTTGTTAAGGCCAGGAACATGAGCTCGCGTATTCAGAGGTTCGCACGCGAATCCAGGAAGTATAATATCATTGGCCTTATCGAAAGAGCGGGTTCGCAGGCGGCGGGGACGTGCGGACATCAGATCGCGGGGGCCTTCGGTAGCTTTCGCCAGCAGTGTCGACGTCGTCTTGGGAATGCCGTATCTTCGGGCAAGCGAGGGCATTTCCTCACCACCTTATTGAATCTTAAGGCTGCCGGCCACGACCCTGCTTGACGAGTGCCCCGAGAGGGGTTGTGTTTGTGGCTGAAGATATGGCTCGAGGAGCCCAGTGTCCGTGTGCCTGTCCGCGCAGCCTGGCCTGATCTTGTGCAGCAGCTTCGGTGTTTGGTGCCGCGTCAGATATCGCAGCGCGTCCGAAGACCGATTTCCATGGTCGTTGCATACTTGCTCGACTTCGGATGGAACCCGATTTCTCCCGCGGAGTGGGATATGCCCGCGCGTGATGAAGAGCCTGGACTTGGTTGGACGTTTCCTGATGATCTGGTCACAGCTTCTGGGGATACTAATGGGTTGTTATCCGGCTTCGAAAGGGCGATTCGGGCGAAACTCAGGGCTTCGGCTGCTTCGCATCATTTCTGTGGAGGGGGGGGGCTCCAGCACGGGGCCGACAATGGGCCCTTCAGGTCACACAAGGGGTTCCCAACGGGTCCAGGCTCGCCGAGGCATTGCTGACTATCGCAGTTGGTGGCACGTGGCCTCTGTCTAGGGTGCTTAGGGAGACGGGCGCCATCGCGGACGACCCATGTCCCAGGTGTGGCCAGGCTCCCGAATCCCCCCTCCGCTGACATTGGCTGCGTTTCAAAAACAATGGAAAGCAAATCTTGGAGAACTCCCAGTTCTTCCTTGGCAAGGCCCAAGCGGGCCAAGACTTTGAGCCGCATTTTTGGTTTCGGGGTCTCATCCCGAAGTCTTGGATTCAGGTGCCTGGGGCTGCGCTCGAGGAGGCCTGGCAAGTCTTCTCGGGCCCCAACGACTCGGCCTGCGAGCGCGTGCTCGGCATTGGCCAGATCGATGATCGAGTCTTTAAATTTGGTCATGCCATGTGTGAGCCAGATTCCAGAGATAAGCGGTTTCGGCATTGCGGGGTTTCGGCTGTGTCTCTCGTTAGTCATGATCCTCCCTGCCTTAGGGCTGCTGTCTTGGGAGGTCTCCCTGCGGCTCCTCAATCGGTTCCTCGTGGTGAAGTTTTGGGCCTCTACCTGGGTATCAAGTTGTCCAGAGGGCCTATTACGTAGGTTACTGACAACAAGCTGTGGCGGATGGTTGGCACAGGGGGTTCTATTCTCGGCCTAAGGGGTCCAATCGTCCACGTGAAAGTTGGTTCGTGGTGTGCTTCAGTCTCAGGGCCGCGACGTGCCGCCAACCTGTTGCTGCAAGTGCCCGCGCACATTGATGCTGACGCCCTTCACTCTTGCGGGTATCCAGTGTTTCTTGCTGCTGGTAATACCACTGCCGACCACTTCGCAGGATGTGCTGCAGATTCCGTCAGGCTGACTCCTGACATCAAGCATCGCGTGCAACAGAAATGGGGGCGTCCCTGGTCAGGAAGCGCCTGCCCCGATCCACCCTCGAAGCGATGGCTGCTCGTCCTTCCCCCTCCAAGAGTGCTCTAACCAGGCCGGACCCCCCCTCCCGCCCCTTCCACCCTCGCCCTCTTCGCTTCCGCGCATGTGCTCAGCGAGTGTGTCAGGCGTTGTAGCACGTGTCATGGTTGTGCTTCCTTTGGACACTCTTACTGAATGGATGAATTCGCCTTGTTTCGATTTGGAGCCTGTTGACTCTCATGCTTCTCGACTGCCGAGGGGTGTAAGGTTCACCTGGGGGTCGGTTGGATCCACCCATCTCATTCGGCCCTCTTCTCCTCCTCCTCGCACTCGTGTATTTGTTCTTCGTGTGGCTTCTATGGAGGTGAGCAACTCAAGAAGAACTTTGCCTCCGAGTGCTCTGGTACTTTCAAAAATGTCAGACGGAGGTACCTCGATAACTTTGTCACAAGGAGGCCACCCACGGATCAGGCGGCCTGCCGAGCCAAGCCATCCGTTTAGCTCGTTTCAGATGTGGATTTCTTAGCGCGAAGGGGCCAATTCCATTCCTTTTCATTCCTTGTTCTTGGTGGCTGCAAGGTTCGGTGAACGTGCTCCTCGTCCTCTTCCTCTTCCTCCTTGTCCTCTTTGTCCTCCTCCTCCTCCTCCTCCTCCTCCTCCTCCTCTCTGCTCTTGTTTTCTCTGGCCCTCTTCCATTACTTTTTGCCAGGTGTCCCCTTCAAGCTGCTATACGCGCTCGTTCGATGAGTTCAAAGGCCTGCAATTCAAGCGCCGTGGCCGCCCTGACAACAGCCGTTGCCATGTCAATTACAAATCAGGAATGTCGTCCACGAGATACCGCAGGCATCCTCTGGTGGTGCGACTTGGTAGGACCAGCGGCCGCGGCCCTGTGTGCCACGATGTGCCGCGGGACTCGTCCCTCAGTCGTTGTCGTCGCGTCTCCATGCCCTCATCCCACCTGCTCGCAATCCGCCCCAAACTCAGGAGAACACGGCTTTTGTTGGAGCGCACGCGTCAGGAACACGTCTGCAATGCGTGCCAGCGCGTCCTTCTTGTTCTTGATCGGCTGTTGTTCCAACTCCTGACCCAGTCGTACTACCTCCCTCCTCTCCCTCCGTGCTGCTCTGCTCCGTTTCAATCTCTGTGGGGATCCCTGTCAGGGGGGTTGAGGCAGGCTGTGCCCCAGACTTTGTTTTTCGGAGGCGAGGTGCTCGCCGAACCGACCCCGAGCTAGAGCGGTCTAGGCCTCCGGCGCCCGCTAGTGCTGGCCGGGTCCCGCAGGGCTCCGCAGCAGACCCTACGGCGACACCCCGTCCTGGCGGCGACGTGGAGGCTGACGAAGAACAGGAGTACGTGGACGCTCGTGACTTCTTGAGCCTCTCCCAGCAGACAGTACCACCATCCAGTGGTGCATCCCCTGCTGCAGGGCTGAACCTAAACGGTGTTATTCGTTTTCGTTTTGTTTTTCGTTCTTCCTCGTTTTGCCTTGGCTTCGCTTTGCATGCAAAACAAAACGAAACAAACGACGGCCCACGAGATGGTCCAAACACCCTCCGGGTCCAACCCTGCCCTGCTGCTGCTGCCGCTCCCGCCCCCGTCCCTCCCCCCCTCCCGCGCCCGTCCCCTCAGTGATGCTCTGAAGGAGCGCATGGCGCTCCATCGTGGAGAAGCGCGGGAACGCCGGGCCGCACGTGCAGCAGCAGAGCGCCAGAGGCGGTCGTCAGAAGGTGCAACTTGGTCTGCAGATCCCGCATTGGAAGCGCAACTTTTTGATCGACTGCGAGGCTGATGCTCTCGACGGGACGGAGGCGGGTGGGCTCAGGGTCATTCTGGAAGGATCATTTTTCTGCTTGTTGGGAGGTTGCTCTCTTCCCTGCTTGCGCCGCCCCCTCCGCCGCTGTCGCGGCCCCCTCCCGCGGCCCGCTCCGCGGCACCGCCCGACCGACCGTACCCGCCAGACGATGAGCGTCTCCGAGCGCCTGTAGCGCTAAACTGCCAGGGGTCCACGTGATACCCAACTGGGGTGTAGTGGTGCACCCGGTGCGCCCCACACGTGCGATGCCCCCCCGCTGTCTCCCCCTCTGCGCGCCCTTAAGCCAGGATCTCCTGAGCCACGTGCTCGAGCCCCGCCGCCGCCGCCACCACCGCAGGCAGTCGTTTCGCCTCCGCCGCCCCCAATCCTGGATACAGCGCGAAGATCTCCGCCCTTGGCGTCCTCCGCCGTCTCGCCGTGCGTGCCGCTTATGGGGCGTGAAGATAGCTCATCACCTTGACTCAGTAAGGATGCCTGGTGTACAGGAGGGTGATATCAGCAGCCTCGGTGTGCCGAACTCGTCTGGCAGTTGTATCAGCTAGTCACGCAACTGCATTTCGATGTGTGCTACTTGCCCCACCTTCGCAGTCGCTGTTGGAGGCCTCCCCCTGGACTTGGCTGGCTTCGCCTGCCTTTCTTGTTGCCTCTCTGCTTACGGTATCATCACTGCGGATGCACTGATTTGTCGCCCTGTCTCTATACCTTTCGCTTGGCGCCCGTGCTGTGTATTACTACGTTGTCGCGCTTAGCCTGTCGAGGCCTGGTTCTGGTTTTCCGCAGCAAGTTGAATGCAACAATCATCTGGCAGTTCCGTGTGCAGATCAGGTCCGAAATCCAACATCCTCCTCTCGAATCCTTCCTTTTCGCTCCTCCTCCTCTTACTCCTGCTCTTCTCCTCCTGCTCCTCCTCCTTCTCCACATCCCTTCCCGTTTCCTCTTGAGGCTCACATCCTGAGCCGTTGCTCCAGGTCACGTCAGCATGCACGCCTCCAACTGTATCCTCAACTGTGCAATGCGACCTGAATGCGACCTGTCCACAAACGTGGGCCACTGAGCTGCCCCCTCAACCGACTTCTTCTGCCTCTGACCTGTGGCGCCGCTGCCACGCCCGCCGCTCGGCCGCCCGAGTTGGCTCCCGCGCGTTCTTTTTCTCAATCTCCAAGTGTGTGTGTGCGTGTGTGTGTGTGTGTGTGTGTCGCCATGGAGGCCTTTCTCTTTCCCATGCGGCTCAGGGCCCGTACGGATGCACGTTTCTGTCTCTGTCACCCGCCTGGCCTTCCAACACCAATTGTGATGAGGTGCGCGCTCGACGCAGTGTGTTGCACAGCCACTCCTATCGCCACGTCGGCATGATGGCTGACATCTATGTGTCCTGGTTTCGCTATTCAGTCGACAAACGAGTTTCAAGGAACACTGTAAGGCCGGGATGCCAGCGTAACATCCCACTGGCAAAGAAATGTCAACACGCGACGTTGATATCTGTGCTGTGGACCGCTCTTAACCAGACTGCTTACTCGCGCGTTCGAATCCAACCCTAAAACAAACCTTTCTCACGATCACTTTGTCGACGGGCTGCAGGCGCGGGTGCCTTCAGCCCATCCAAGAACTTTCTGTGGACGATGATGTCGAATATCTTGCCCTTTTCTTTGAGCTTGCCGTTCTTCGCGGCCTCGAAAGCCTGCGAGGTCAGGGGATGGAGGAGGGGAGGGGGGGCAGAGGAGGGGATGAGGAGACAAAGAAATGGCCGATGGGTGGGGTCTTCGCAGAAGCGCCAAATTAGATGGATGACGCGACTTGCTGCGAAGCGACGCGTGGGCATCATGCTGGCTGCGTTGCAGCCGCGAGCGTCGAGGGATCCGTCGTTTGGTAAAGGCCTTGTTTTCCTGCACCCTTTGAGCAACTCCTTCTTCGAAACACCTGGTCGGACCCCCCTGCGCTATCTTGTGGCAACTCCCTGGTCAGCGCGAAACGTTGCTACAGTGAAACAGCACGGCCGAGCACCAGATCCGGATGCGGCGCTCCCACCCACAAGACCGATGATGCGTTCCTGGCAGCGGTGTGCGAATTTGGTTACAGTTCGCTTTCGCCCCCGTGCGACTTCGCGGAGAACAAAGACGACAATCCACACATATATATATATGTATGTATGTATGTATGTATGTATGTATGTATGTATGTATGTATGTATATATATATATACATATATATCTATATATGGTCACCCCCAATGCAATACCATTCGCCTGTGATCATACATTCCTCCTCATCCTCGACTGCTTCTTCTCCGTCTTCTCTCTCTCTCTCTCTTTCCTTCTCTCTCTCTCTCATTACCCCTTTGAAGAAACACTGTATTTTCCAGCTTTTCCGGCTTTTCCCACAGACTACCCCATTGGAGAATTCATCGTCGCAGCACTTAGCTGCGTGCGCTCCCGCACGGACATTGGGCACGACCGAACACGTGCAAGTGGCTGGCGCCTTCCTGAGAGAGAGAGCCCCGGGGCGCCCAGCCAGCGGAGTGCAGCGCTGAGTGGGCGGGCGAGAAAAACGCCGCCGCGTGCGCCCACGGCGCCCCGCGGAGACAGCAGATGACCTCGCTCGCACCGCGGTGCCAGCAGACACCCACGGCACGCAGAACGAGGGCCCGACAGACAGACGACAGACAGACAAAGAGACCGACGGACAGACAGACCGACCGACTGACGGACGGACGGACGGACAACCGCCGCCCGCAGGACACGGCGCGTAAACAGACCCACAAGAGCGAACCAAGTCCGCAACCCCCACGCGGGAGTACCCGATCCTCGTGCACTTCGCTGCGAATCCCCAGGCCCCTATGCACGGATAGGGGTGGCACCGTTTACTCCTCAACTTTTCCTGCCCTCCAAACCGCTGCGCGATTTAAGGGCGAAGAAATTCTTCGTCGCAGCACTTAGCTGCGCGCGCTCCCGCGCGGACATTGGGCACGACTGAACACGCGCAGCTAGCTGGGGCCATCCTGAGAGAGAGAAGGAGAGAGAGAAAGAGAGAGAGAGAGAGAGAGAGAAAGAGAGAGAGAGAGAAAGAGCCTCGGGACACCCGATGCATTCAGGTGGGGCAGGGCAGCTGCGCGAATCACCGCAATGCACGCGAGAGATTTTCATTCGCCAGCCCCAGAAACTCGGCCTCAGCTGCCGAACCTCGCGCCTTGGCGGAGATGCGCGCAAGCGCTGTGAGCCCCCACCAGCCGCTTGAATAAAACAGCGCTGCCGGACCATTAGCTTGCAGGCGCTCGGTGGCCCAACCGTTACGAAAAGGATGCGTGCCCCGCGCCGCAGCATCTGTGAAGCCGCAGCCCTGGGCAGCTAATTTAAGCGCAGCAAGGCTTACTGCGCGCGTCATGCCTGGGAAGAGGACAGCGTTCCCAATTGAGGCCTGCGGCGCTGCATCTGTCGTCTGGGAATCCGCGGGTTGATTGGGCCGACTGCCTGCGGGCTGGTGCCGGGCAACAATGTGGCAAACGCCGCGTGGCGCTTTCCCTTGCAAGTTGCAGATGCACCTGCGACTGACCACAACGGGCTCAGCATAGCATTCCCTATTCATGAATGTTATGTCGACCACGTACTGGGCACCGCCATTATTACTAACTTAGAAGGGAGATGCCTCCGAGCCCACTTGCAAAACTTCGCCGTAGCGCAAGCAGAACTAACGCGCCGCCACAGAGGACTGACCTATGTCAGTGAAGCCATTCCTGTAACACCACCGTGACAATTTCCTCGTTTGCTCAGCCGACGCCCTCACTTTTGGCCGCCGAAGCGCACGACCTGCTTTCTCGGCTCCACGAGCTACCCGCGCCGTGTCGGCTAGCGGCCCCACGGGGCAATGCAACCGTCCCAGCACAGTGCGCAGGTGCGACAATTACTTGGACAAGGTAGCCGCGTTCCTGAACAAACAAGCGTATGCGTCCAATCTGGCTTGCGTTGGAGGCCAAGGTGGGGCCTGGCAGACAGGCGCAACTTGGCCGTGGAGCTTCAATGCCGACGCATAACCCTCTGCGCTGGCCTTCCAGCCGCAAAATTCCAGCCGCGCCAGTTCCTGCTGTGGTACCCCGGGAGGGTTGTGGAACGCAAGTGCTTCAGCTTGGGCCGTGGCGGCAATGGCCTCGGCGAGCGCGCGCGGCTCGGGAAGCCTGCCAGACGCCCGCGCCGCCGCGCGCAGCCGCGACGCCGCCCGCGCGCCAGCGTTTTCCTTGGCGCCGGGGTTTCCGTCCTGCTGCGCGGGGATCCCAGACGGAGCCGCCTGGCGTCGCGGCAGCGAAAGCTGACTAGGCGGCCGCGGAGCGCTCGCCTTCACCTTGATCTCACCGTGAGAATTGCAAGGGTCCAAGACAGCGCTCACGACAGAAGGCGACACTCCCGAGAACGAATTCCAAACTTGAGCAGCTTCCTCAACAGTGATGTTTGCGAAATCAGATGGCGCCACGGCTCCCTCCTTCCGAAGATTGTCTTCTACTGCGCGCACATCCAGCGGAACTTTCGCGATGCCGGCCGCGCGCCGGAGCAGCTGCGCCAAGACAGTCTCTGGCGTCTCCTGCAGCGCCACTGCTGGCTCTCGGCCGAACCTGCCGATGGCCATCACCGCCGGCAAAGCCGGCTCGTGTCCGACCGTCGTCAATGAAATTCAACATTGAGCAAAGCCGGCTACGGAATAATGTCGGAATAACACCCTTCCCTCAGGTAGCGGTTGCCTTCGCTGGCTGCAGATGATAGATGATGTCTTTTTTTCGCAGTACCAAGCTGACCAAGGCAGTGCAGGCGGCCGCGCCCGCTGCAACTGACGGAAACCTCTGCTCTGGAATTCGGAGACAGCTCCGTCCTAAGTCTCTTGCCGCGTCGGGCCGTCAGCAATGTTCAACTTGCTCGGGGCGCGGAAAGCATGCAGGAGCACGCCGGCGCGCGCCACTTCAAACCAAAAGTCGGTTATCACATCATTTAAAGCACTCTGCTGGCTCTCGCCGCGCACGAGCGCGTGCAGGGCCGGATAGCAATCCACGAGCGTCGCTACGTCGCACTCCGCACGCCCATGCTGGATCAGACAGCGCACAGCGCAGACCGCTGCCACAAGCTCCCACAGCACTATGTGAGCGCGCCGCGGGTGCGCCCGTGCCCGCGCCGCCTGGGGCACTGCAGTGGCTCCCCAGGCGTGAAGGGAGGGATGCGCAATCGCAACGGCCATGCGCCCATCCCCTGCGGCATCTGTACACATAAAACACCAGTGCGCAGCTACTGGCTGGAGCGAGGCCCGGCGCGTGGGCACGCTACCGAGAAACCGACGTCACCATTGTAGTGCCGCTCGGGCCCTATCATCTAAGGTTTCTGGGCGCCGGTGGGCTTGCCAATGCAGCGCCGCCAAATGCGAGCGATCACCCTTGCCGAAGACAGCGGTGCTGGCCCAACTCAGCCGCCCTGCCAACCGCTTCACTTCGGAAGGGCGGGGGAAATCCTCGGGGAACGCGCGGGTTATACTTGCAAACCACTTTTCCGTTCTGCTCGCGCGTCGCTGCGCCCGCTGGTCCAGTGAACGCGCCGTGGGTTTCTCGGACGCGGCCAGCCGAAACTAAATCGTCGACGAAGCGTGGATGAGCAATGTGCAGCTCCCGCGCCAAGAGCGCCTGCAGGAACGAGCCGAGCCTGTGCCAACTATATACAGATGCTCGCGCCCCGAACGGGCAACAGAGCAACTGCAAGCCTTTGCCCTCTTCGGCAGCTTTCTGCCACGTAGCTGCAGCAAAAGGCAAATGCTGAGACAGGAGTGGGAGCGATTTGAATGCACCTTTAAAATCTTCCTTCCTAAATCGAAGCTCGGGCCCTGCAGGCTGGTCGCGGGCAAGCCACGAAGCCAGCGATACTAAAGTATCCGAAGTGTCCACTGGCATCGGCTCGCCGACAGCTGTCGCCAAATTCACTTTCGTAGCTGTGAAATCGTCAATCAGACGCACCATCGGGCATGAAAAACCTTTGCGCTGTGAAACACCACCGCGCGCGCCCACGGCGCCTCAGGGAAACGCCCGAAAACCTCGCTCACACCGCGGTGCCAGCAAACACCCAAGGCGCGTAGAAAGAAGGCCGGACAGACACACGACAGACAGACAGAGAGACCGGCGGACAGACAGACCGACCAGCTGACAGACAGACGGACGGACAACCGCCGCCCGCAGGACACGGCGTGTAAGCAGACCCACAAGAGCGAATTAACTCCACAACCCCCGCACGGGAGTACCCGATTGTCGTGCACTTTGCTGCGAGTCCCCAGGCCGCTAGGCAAGGATAGGGGTGGCACCGTTTACTCCTCAAATTCTCCTGCCCTCCAAACCGCTGCGCGATTTCAGAACTAAAAAAAGCGGCGTTTTCCTCCTCACCATCAACAAGGCGGTGGCAGAGGCAGACCCCGATGAATACGATTCAAGGTGATCTGTATGATCATGGAAGGGGGCAACCATCTATATGTGTGTATTCGTATGTGTATATCGCACACCTGTAAACATATATCAGCATATACATGTGCATATTTCATGCGGGTATGCGCAGCTCAGCAATTTCCAGGTGTATCGAATACAATATCTGGTCCTCTTCGTGATGTTCGTGGGCTTTGCTTTCGCGCTGATGTGCTTTGCAGGGCCCGTAACGGCAATGCCCAATTCTGCACCTAACACTCCCATCTCGAAATGCGGTCTCGCGCGCTGTATGAACCGGCCACATTTCTCAACTGCCTGGGAATCGTTGTGGGGAACGATTGTCCCGTGGCAATGCTACGTTACCTAACAGCGAAGACTGATAGGTTTCTAGTAGTGTCAAAAGAGCTCACAGATCACTCCACAGGGGGGTCCGGGCAGGTGTTGGGGCGTTTCCGGGCGGCATGAGCCGGGCTCGTTTTTCACCAACAGTCACACACTTCGTGCTCTTCGCCTTCCCAGAACTCCATTCCCAGGCCACATTCTGGGGGGCCGGATGCAACAGTCACACACAAAGTGCTCTTCGACATCCCAGAACGCCATTCCCGGGCCACATTCTGGGGGGCCGGATGCAACAGTCACACACTTCGTGCTCTTCGAGTTCCCAGAACGCCATTCCCGGGCCACATTTTGGATGCCCGGAGCCAACTGTAGGCCACTTCGTGCTCTTCTATTTCCCAGAACTCCATTCCCGGGCCACATTTTGAATGCCCGGAGCCAACTGTAGGCCACTTCGTGCTCTTCGAGTTCCCAGAACTCCATTCCCGGGCCACATTTTGAATGCCCGTAGCCAACTGTAGGCAACTTCGTGCTCTTCGACTTCCCAAAACTCCCATTCCTGGGCTACATTTTCAGCAGGGGCAAGAGCACGACGAGGGGGAGGACGAGCAAGACCAGGAGGACGAGGACGAGCAGGAGCAGGACGAGGAGCAGGAGAGCAGGAGAAGAAGGACGAGCAGGAGGAGGAGGAGGACGAGCAGGAGGAGGAGGACGACCAGGAGGAGGAGGACGACCAGGAAGAGGAGGAGGAGGAGGAGGAGGGGAGGGGGAGGAGTACCAGGAGGAGGAGGAGGAGGAGGAGGAGGAGGGAGGAGGAGGAGGAGAGGAAGAGGAGGAGGAGGAGGAGGAGGAGGAGGAGGAGGGGAGGGGGAGGGAGGAGGAGGAGGAGGAGGAGGGAGGAGGAGGAGGAGGAGGAGGAGGGGGGGGGAGAGCACCAAGAGGAGGAGAACGAGGACCACCAGGAGGAGGAGGAGGAGGAGGAGGAGGAGGAGGAGGAGGAGGAGGAGGAGGAGGAGGAGAGAACATCACGAGGAGGAGGACGAGCAAGACGAGGAGGACGAGAACGAGGGCGACCAGGAAGAGGAGGAGGAGGAGGAGGAGGGGAGGGGGAGGACTACCAGGAGGAGGATGAGGAAGAGGAGGAGAAGGAGGAGGAGGAGGAGGAGGAGGAGGAGGAAGAGGAGGAGGAGGACGAGGAGGAGGAGGAGGAGGACGAGGAGGAGGAGGGGGGGGGAGAGCACCAGGAGGAGGAGAACGAGGACCACCAGGAGGAGGAGGAGGAGGAGGAGGAGGAGGAGGAGGAGGAGGAGGAGGAGGAGGAGGAGGAGGAGGAGAGAGCACCGGAGAGGAGGACGAGCAAGACGAGGACGACGAGAACGAGGACGAGGAGGAAGAGGAGGAGGAGGAGGAGGAGGAGGAGGGGGAGGAGAGAGGAGGAGGAGAACGAGGAGGAGGAGGAGGAGGAGGAGGAGGAGGAGGAGGAGGAGGAGGAGAGAGCACCAGGAGGAGGAGGACGAGCAAGACGAGGACGACGAGAACGAGGACGAGCAGGAGGAAGAGGAGGAGGAGGAGGAGGAGGAGGAGGAGGAGCAGGAGAAAGAGGAGGAGGAGGAGGAGGAGGCAGGCTGAGGCTGAGGCTGTGACTGCGACTGCCGTTGCCGCTGCGACTGTCATCGCGAATGCGACTACGACTGCGAGAACAGCAGAATTCGACAACTGGATTTTCATCTGAATCTTAAGGGGAATGCTTTCAGATATGCTTCTACACATCGCTGTTAGGTTGCTTTGCCGGGATAATTTTTTGTGTGCGGATCGCCCCTCATTGGGTTGTTGGCCGATCTACAAGGCTACAAACAGCGAAACGGCAATATTACATCATCTGCACAATGAAAGCAAGAAGAAACAACTAGAAGCAATAGCGCAGGAAAACACAAGCGGAACACAACGCACATGTCTACAATCACGTTCGAAATGCATGCTGCAAAAATGAAACAGCCATGCAACAATGAGACAACCATGTCTATGTGCACACGCATAGGTTGTACGAGCTGAGCACAGCGAAGGCCCTGGGGGCCATGGGATCGACAACGCCTGGGATGCCAACAACATTGAACAGCCATCGTTCGATGTGTTCTGCCTCCGATGGTCTCGCATGAGGAAATCTGTAAAATCTTCGGATGGCCTAGGGCCAGGCCTCCAGGGCCCAAATAATCCCACGAAGAACGCCGAAGAAACCCAGAAGAGAACCCGAAGACAATCAGAAGACTTCCAAATACAGCTTCAGACCGTCTCAGGCCCTAAGACGGCCCCACGACATGTCCAGGCTGTGTCACGATATTCCAGGGAAGCTGTGAAAAACCATCGCGCCCACAAGAGCGCCCTGGCGGCCCGCGAGAAACCATAGTTCTGTACATGTCTGCTTGAAGACCTTGTGAACCAATCGCCCCAAAAACAACCCAATAACCTCCAGGGGGACTGTAGCAACCTCGTGGAACTGGGGTATACGCATGGTTGTGGTGTGGTGGAACCGTGGTAGTATCAGGGTGAACCAATGGTAGAGTGATGTTGAAGCTCGATGCAGCGCTGGCATGGTGGGGTGGACCGCAAGCAGCCGATTAGAGATTACATGCGCATGTCCGCTCGCAACCCAGCTCACTGGAACAACAGCCACACAAACGCGACACGTACTCTCATTTTCATCCCAACCTGCCTTGAAGAGCCAACGCAAACGGTCCATCGGCTTCTTCGGAAATACGTCGTCCCATTCTAGAGACACGTACTCCTTTTTATCCTCCTGGACCTGCTTCTTGTCAACCTTGTGGACCCTGCGCGAAGTCACCTTCCACGCGAGGGGGCAATCAAGACGGCATGAATCCGCCATGGGACAACGGACGGGATCGGGGTCCCCGGGAGGACGGGGAGGAATAGGTGGGGCGAGGAGAAGCGGAAAGAAGGACACAATCGAGGGTGGGGGGGAGCTGGTTTGCACGCTCCACGTCCGCCCACGCCCCCCCGTGCCCCCTGTGCTCTCCCGTGCCCGGCTCTGCCGTCTTCCCCTCCTCGCCCCCCCCCCCCCCCGCCTCCTGCCCCTGCCCGCCTCGACCTGTTGCCCCTGCCCTCCGCTGCCCTTGCCCCCGCGCTCCCCTGCCCTTCCGTGCCCTCCTGACCCCTCCGCTCCCCCGTCCTGGCCCGCCCCCGTCCTGTCCCCCCCCAAATCCCCGCTGCCCCGCCGGTTGCTGCTGTCCCTCCTCGTGCCTCCTTCCTCTCCCGCTCCTCCTTCTCCTACTTCTGCTGCTGCCGCTGCTGCTCCTCCTGCTCCTACCCTCGATCGTGATCGCCGCCTGGGGCGCGATGGGCATGTCCTCGGCTGCGATGAAGTTGTCCCCCTTCTCCTCAGGGTGGACAGAAACCAAGCAATTTCTCCTGCTCTTTCTCCCCCTCCCCTTTCACTGGCACCTCTACGTCGACCCCCAACTCGACGTCTCCTGCCCCTCCCCTTCCCAATACCGCTCTCTTTTTCCTCCTCCTATTCCTCTTGCTGCTGCTCCTCTTCCTCCTCATCGTCGCCATCTCCGTTGCCGTCCTCCTCTCTTGTTCTTCCCGATATCGTAGCCCGACCGGCGCCTGCACCCGCTTCGACTCTTTTGCTCGCTGACTCCAAAACATGCTCTTCCCAGTATCCATCCTATTCCCCCCTTCTGAGTGTCTGGGATTCTCTCCCCTCTCCCCGTCCTCATCCCCTCCCTCCACATTCGCCTCCTCCGCCTCCTCGCCGCGTGCGGGAGCAACTCCGAAGCCTGGCCACGGCCACCTTTGCGAGCCAAGGCTTCGTGCATCACGCAAGCATGCGGCCAGCAGTTGCGAAAGGGTCGCTTTTTGTGAGCCACGTGAGCTCCCGTTCATCGGGATGAGAATCATGAGCCAGCAAATCGACGTACGTAATGTCGGGAGCCTCTGGAAGATGAGGGTAGAGATCAATCAACCAATCGATCAACGAATGACTCGCCGCGCCTTTTCTTTGCCTGCTGTCAGAGACGCAGACTCACAAGGCGATGCGCAATCGATGCGAAAGCCGGGTCCGTCGCGTCGCGCTATCCATGGAGGTGGCAAACTTGCTCTGGCTATAGCCTGCGGCAACTGACGGTGGCTGGCGCCGGCTCGGCACGGGTCATGATCTGAAGCTTCTGGCCCGCCCCCGCAGGAAAATCCGCGCGGCGCCGAACACGAAGGTCTCACTGGAAGCGCCTCTGCGCCGGAGACATGGCGTTCGCGAGGGCCTTGGCGACGGCGACGTCCACGAGCGGCCTCGGAATGCCCGTCTGGTCGCCGCCCTGTAGGCAGAGCTGCAGCGCCTTCGGCCTGTCTGGGTGCTGCTCCATGAACTTGACGAGACTCTCTACCACCCTGTCCGCGCCCACTGTGGGCCCCGCACATCCGGCCACTGCGTCGCGCGCGGCGCCGCTGAGCGGCGCGGGCTGCTCGCGGCACGCGTTGCCTGCGGAGCCCCGTGCCTCGGGGCGCCCGCCGCCGTTGCCTGCCGAGGCGGCGGGGGCGCGCGGGGCCTCCCAACGCTGGCTGGCGGCTCCCGCCTGCTGCCAGGCATCGGGACCCGTCCACTTGCCAGCGGCAGCGTCCTCAGGGCCGTGCCAACGCTCGCCCTTCGCCTCCCACCACTTGCCACCGCCGCGCCAGCCGTCGTCGCTGCGGCCCCAACTGCTGGAGGCGGAGCTGCCCCTCCAACCGTCCCAGCTGCCCTGTCGCCAGCCGTCCTCCTGGGCGGGCGGCGTCGGTCTGCCAACGGTGCCAGGCTGCCAGCCGCTTCGGGCGTCCTGCGCTGGGACCTCCTGGGCCGCTGGGGTGGCGGTCTGGGCGGAAAGAGCCGCTGGCGCGGCCGGCGCGGCATGCGGCGGCGGCGGCGAGGCGGCCGGCTGCGGCGGCGGCCGCTGCTGCTCGGCAGGGGCTCCCGGGCCGCCGCCGCCGCCAGGCGCGAGGCGCTGCTCGGCCTGCTGGATGCACACCTCCACCGCGTCGCGCTGGAGCACCAGGACAAGGCCCTCCCTGACGATGGGCTTGCCCTCGGCGGCCATGCTGCGGAGCAGGCTCTTCCTCTGCTGGAAACTGGCCGCGTCCGGCCTGCTAGTCAGGAAATCTACCAACTGCTCCATGTGCTCCTTGCCCAGGCCGCCGGGCAGCGGCTGCGGCCCTGGCGGCGGGGCGGCCGCGGCGGGTGCGGCCTGCGCCAGCGGGGGCGGCTGGCCCCGGCGCCGGCGGTCGTCGCCCAGGAGCGCTGTCCAGCTCTGTCCGTCGCTGGGCCCCCCGCCTGCTCGCCGCGGCTCTGCGGGTGCCGCTGGCCACGGCGCTGGGGGCCCAGGCGGCCGTGCCGTGGACGGCGCGGCCATGGCCCCGGGCGGCGGCGCCGCAGATGCCACCGACGAGGCGGAGCGGTATCCTCTTTGCGGCGGCGGGTCCCGCTCGATGTGGGGCAGCGCCGTCGGATGGGCGGCTGCCCCCTGCTGCAGGACGGGCCAGGCCTGGACGACTTTCACCTGGTCCCAGCCCGTGGACTCCTCCCCAGCGAAGAGGACCTGCGACAACAACCCCCCCAACTCCCCGCTGGGGCCGCGCTCGCGGCGGCAGCGGAACCAGCCCAGGGTTTCCCTGGGCTGGTCGGCGGACACCACCTGCGCCAACCACCAACCGACGGGGTCGCCCGGCTGCGGGGGCCTCAGCCAACCGCCGATCTGGCCGTTCACGTTCTCCCGGTACGCCAGGTGGCCTTGCGCGTTCGCAGAGACAGTGTACTCCCCGAGCTCGCTCCTCCACGTGCCAATGAGCTCTCGGCCGCCCGCATCCATCCGGCGCTCAGCCGCGGCCCTTGCCCTTGCCCCTTCGCCCGGCGGCGCCGCGCCAGGGCCGTCGGCCGGGAAGGCAGCTTGAGCCAAAATTGACCTCCTGGAAGCCTGTGCACAATCTCAGACACCCCTTCCGAAAGATTTCGTTTGCAATAATTTCCCCAAGCAGTGCTTGCACTTAGGGTTTCTTGCTCCTTTTGAGAAGAGCTGGGCCGGAGTGTCGGTCTGGCGGCTGTGTTGTCGCCGTCGCCGCGTTGCCGCCGCCCGTTGTCTGGGCCAGAATGTCAATCTGGCGGCTATGTCTTCGCCGTCGCCGCCCCGTCTTCGCCCGGTGTCTGGGCCTGATTGTCGGTCTGGCGGCTTTGGTGTCGCCGTCGCCGTTCTGTAGCCGCTTCGTCGCGGCTTCGCAGATTTGTACCGCATCGATTGCACAATCTGTGTTGTACCACGTCGGAAATTTGTTCAACATACATCGCACCACGTAAAGTGCACTTCACATATTGCGCAACATATACCGAAATATGTTGATTGCGCCATCGACAGATACATTTATATATATATATATATATACACATTATATATATATGCTGCCCGAAGTAGATTGCACAACATATAAAATCCTTTCCGAGCAAATGTTCGGCTCTACCACCCCTTCTGAATTCACCGTCCTCCTTTTCGTATTGCAATTTACGTGTGATTCTGGCCAATCGTCCATGTTTTCTGCGAACTCATAACATCCCAGCTCGGCTGGTATTCGCCCCCCTCATCCTCCGCAACAGAAAATATGCTCGCGCGCACGTTGACCAACAATCATCTGTTTCCAACAACCCCTTGCAACAGATGGGACGAAGTGCACACGCGCGCGTCTTCGCGCGCGCATGCCGAAATCATTCAAAAACTTCGGCTTCGTACGGATGTCAATGTCACGAAAGCATAGAACAACATGGTTTCGCAACATATTTTTTGTTATCTACATATGTATGTATATATATACATACATATAGATTAACAAAAACTTTTTTTAAAGGGGGGGTGCACGATGCGTGACAATTAATAGCACGCGGGCCACTCGCGTACGTTGGGCGCTCGCGCATGTCGCACTCTGTCCAAAACCTCTAACACCGACGCGAGGACATCGTCATCGTTATCGGCGGGCGTGATCAGCATCGGCGCCGTCATTGGCCTTGCCGTCGTCATCGCCATCATCGTCACCATCCTCGCTACTTTCATCATCGTGACTACCGTTGTCGGCGTCGCCATGATACCGCGTCCGCCCAAGTCACCGATTCGCAGTGAAGTGACCGCTGGGATGTGCCCAATGGTCAGCGCCACCGCGGCCGCGTCGGTCGCGCCGCACTAGCTGACCGCTGTGCGCGCGAGCATGCGCGGACTAGCGCGGCCGCAGAGATGCACCAGCCAACGCCACGCACTCATCGCAATCGCCGTCGCATGGGTTTTGCAAACCAAATTGCGGGTGGGTGGGTGCGATGATTGCGCGAGCAGTGGAGTTGACAACTCGCTGCGAGCATGGAATTGCGCCACATAGACTGCGCAACCTTATTCGAACAACAACGATCGCAACACATATGCTGCACACCATAGTTCGCACCGCATCTATTGCACCACATAGAATTCACAACGCATATTGCAGCACACGTCGCAACATCGATTGTACACTTTAGATCGTACCGCATATGGGACCACACAGGTCGCACAACCTATAGTGTACACCATAGACTGCTTCGCATAGATTTCACCGCACATAGTGCATCATTTAGATTGCTCCGCGTTGGTTGCACCACATAGGTTGCGCACCACATATCGCACATCACATGGCACGACACAGACTGGACCGCACACACATCTTTGTGATAGATTTGCACATGTTCACACATACACGTGTATATATATATAAATGTTGATATGGCACCACATACTTCGCACAACATATCCAAACACACACACACATATAGATACTAGAACCACGCGCGCGCTTAGATTCTAGCGAAGTCTACTTGTTCGTCAGCGCTCGGCATCGGAGGACATGTATTGTCACACGGCTCGTGCTCCTCAGGGGGCTCCACGTGCGGCCCCGATAGACAGGCTTGGCTTAAGGTCCCCCCGTCCATGTCAGCAAACCCCTCACAGGGATCGCGCCCCGCAGGGAGCTCCACCTACATTCCCAGAGACTGGGTTCGCATAGTGGTACGCCCCTCACTCGGATTGTGCCCCGCAATGCATGTGCGGCACCACAAGGGAGCTGCACAGAGTCGGCCCGCTCACTTCGGCACACCTCTCACACGGATCGTGGCCCGCGAGGAGTTCCACGGACGGCCCCAGAGATAAGGTTCGCATCCTGTCCTCCCGCCTACTTCGGCACACCTCTCACGCGGATCGTAGCCCACAGGGATCTCCACCTAAGGCCCCAGAGGCAAGTCACATCGCGCCCCCCACCCCAACCATTGCGGCACACCCCATCACGCGGATCGTGCCCACAAGAGGCATCACCTAAAGGCCCAGAGACAAAGTTCGTACAACGCCCCCCCGCCCATGTCGGCACATATGTCACGCGAATCATGCCCCCAGAAGTAGTCACCTATGGCACCAATGGGCAACTTCGCATGGCGTCCCCCCGCTCATTTCGGAACATGCCTCGCACGGGGCGTGCCCACAAAGAGTTCAGCGCACTCATGCGCGCGTGCTCCGCAGCAGCCATCTTTCCGCATTGCCCCGAAACGCGCAGTGTATGAAGAGAGACCCGCGCCCTGCACTACACATGACTGCGTGGGGATGGGTCCGTCGCCAAACCAATTGCTTGCTTATCGATGGCCTTCGGCCAATACTGCTACTGTGCCTGAGTTTTGTGCCAGGGGATTCTTGCATACATGTAATTCGGGGTCTCTTGGCATACTTCTCGGGCGCCTCGTGGAGCGAGTTTTGAAGCTTCTTGTGGCCTCATGTGGGCCCCATAAGGGGGGCTTCTTGGGGCCTCTTTTGGGGCTATTGGGGGCCTCCTGAATCCCTACTGCGGTCTCGGGGGCCCACTCCTGTAGGAGCGCTCGAAATGTCAGCCGGAATTTCCCCTCGTGGACTCCTCTTGGGGCCCCCTTGGGCCGTCTTGGGCGCCTCTTAAACCGCATTGGGGCTCTCTTGGGCCGTCCTGGGGCCCTCATGGAGGACTCTTGGGCCGTCTTGGGGCGATCTGTGGGGCCTCTTGGCCGCCTCTTGGACGCTGTCAGAACCCAAAGTGCGAATATGCTAAGAATCTTCTTTTCCCTTGGGAATGAATTAATTTTGGCCTCCTGGAGCCCTCTCGGGGCGCATCTTGGAGCCTTCTTAGGACATCGTCGGGGCCCCTTGAGCTGTCTCGACACAATGTTCAGGCGTCTTCGGCCCTGTCAGACCGCTCTGGTTGCTTTTGGGGGCCTCCGGAACAATTTCGAGCGGCGGGGGGGAGGCCCAGGAGGCCGCAAAAAGGTCAATCATGTCGTGGGCCAAAAATGGGGGGATAATCCGGGAGGGTGTCCCAGCCTGGGCTCCCGGACCCCCGGTATCCCAGCATATTTGTTTGCTCGTTGATCGATTTATGAATTTACTTACGCACACACGCCTATCTATCTATCTATCTATCTATCTATCTATCTATCTATCTATCTACCAATCTATCTATCTATCTATCTATCGATATATATATATATATATATCGATATATGTATGTATATATGCACACATACATGAATAAACAAACCAATGTACATGCTATGCGGAACGTCTGGGGGCCCTCACCCTTTGATGTCACCAAAAAACGCTGGGGTACTCATTTTTAGGTTTTCAGGACCGACTTTGTTGTTGTTGCTGCTGTTGCTGTTGTTGTCCTTGCGGTTGTTGCTGTTGTGATTGTTGTTGTTGTTGTTGTTGTTGTTGTTGTTGTTGTTGTTGTTGTTGTTGTTGAACATTGGTTCTCCGTTTTTGGTTCGCCGTCTCACCGCTTTCGGTTCGTTTTACGATGAATTGGTACATAGCTCTTAACTGCAATTTTGAATGTGTTTCGTGTATCATATTTTTGTCTACTTCGGGGTTGTTATTATTTTTTTGTTTTGGGTTGGCGTTTCCCGAGCGTTTTGGGCCCGGCGGGTGTCGTTTTCGTCCTGCTTTGTGTTCCAGCTCTTTGTTTGTTCTCTGTCTTGGTTGACTGCAACACGAACAACTGATAACGATAAACAGCGCCACCAACGCTTCTAAGAGCAACTAAGTCCTCACCGGGCCCAGGCGCCACTGTCTGCCCCGTACCCTGCATTCCCCCTCTTTCCGATGCGAATCGGGCGCAGTGACGTGGAAATACCTGAAAAAGGGTCCTGAAGAACCTGCTTTTCCTTCTTCCTCCTCCTTCCTCCTCCTCATCGCCACTGACATTCACTAGGTGGTGCGATTCGGTCACAGCTCCACTGGTGTAGTGACACACAAATGGTTTGAACTTGAAATAACAAGTTACCAATTACGCGGATTGAGCCTAGGCCTACGGCACCAGGGTTCACAAAGCGTCCTCCGACCAATTTCGGCACGGCCTTCATACTGATCGTTTCCCCCCGTCAGTTCCACTTTCGGATTCAGGGACAAAGTTTGCATGGCGTCCCTCTCCCTATCTCGGCACGCCCTTCACACGGATCGTGCCCCAGAAAGTCGTGGGAAGAGTCGCATAACGTCACGTCCCCCTGTGTATGTTGACTGTCTCCTTGCACGGATCGTACCTCACGGGGAGCTCAACCGACAGCCCCAGAGCCAAGGTTCACATCCCGCCGCCCCGCCCATGTCGGTACACCCCTAATCTGGATCGCGAGGTCGAGGCGTCTTGGGTGCCTCTCGGGGCCTCGCGGCGCGTTTCTCAGTGGCCTTTTTGAAGCCCTGAGGTGGATCGTGAGTTTGGGGCCTATGAAAGCCTCTCTGGGAACGCCGTGTAGGATGTAGACGCGAGACGTCTCATACGCTTCTGGGGGCATATTGGGAAGCCCCCTGGGAGCCTCCTGAAGCATTTCGGATCAGTTTCTCTCAGGGAGCATCTTGGGGCCTCTTGGGGGTCTCTTGGGGAATCTGGGGGGAGTGCTCGGGGTCTCTTGGGAGCCTCTGGCGGACTCTTGGAGGCGTCCTGGAGGCTTCCCGGAAGGTGTTGGGGGTATGTCGGGAGCCGCACCCCCCAAGATGGTGCCCCACGACCCGTTGTGGCACCCTCTTGAAGCCCTCTTGGGGCTCCCTTGGACCATCTTGGGGCCCTCTTGGGCCGTGTTTTGGGCCTGGCAAGCGGTCTTGGAGCCTCCTTGGGCGCCTTTTAGACCGTTTTCGAAGCTGTCAAGAATGGAACGGCGAATCTTCTGAACACGGCTGTTTTCCGAACGGGATGGGGTGATTTTGGCATCCCAGGGCCCCTGAGGGGGGCTCCTTGGAGGCTTCTTGGGGGCCCTTGGCGCGTCTTCAAACCTTCTGGGGGCGTCTCAAATGGCGCCAGAGCGCGCCAGACGCAATGTTGGACGGTCTTGGGCCAGTTTGGGGGCGTCTTGAGGGCATCTTGTGCGCTTTTGGGGCGAGCTTAGGGGCCATCTTGGGGTGTCGAAGACCGTCCTGGAGCCATCTGGGCTTCTCCTGAGGCTCCTTGGGGCCGTCTTGGGCCGTCTTGGGCGGCTCCTGGGCCCTCCTGGAGCGCTCTTGGGTTATGTTCGGAAGTTCTTGGAGGGCCCTTGGGCCGTCTTGGGGCGGTTTTGCGGGCCTCTGGAGCTGTCTTCAAAATGCAAAGCTTCTCGGGGGTCCTCTTGGGGGCCTTTCGGGGCATCTTGGGAGCCTCGTGAGCCGTCTTGCGGCCTTGTTGGGCCGTCTCGGGGCCTCTTGGGCGCTCTCGGGCCCCTCTTGGGCCTCTTTTGGGCGTCTTGGCGGTATCTTAAGCCGTCGTAGGTGCTTCTTGGGCCGTCTTGGGGGCTCTTCGGCGCTCGTGGGGCTCTCTGGGGCCGGATGTGAAGGCCATCTCGAACGCGAAAGGAGGGCCGGAGGCCCCGTGGAGGATCCAGGGGCCAGGTCTTGGGCCCCGCCGGGCCTTACCCAGACATACATATATCACATCGACTGCACCAAATACATCGCACCACATATTGCACCACAGGTATTGCCCCGCGCACACATATTTACATATATGTATGTATGTATGTATGTATGTATGTATGTATGTATGTATGTATGTATGTACGTATGTATATATATACATATATATCTCAACATAGATTGCATCGCGTATGCTGCTCCACATAGATAGTCAGATGCACAAGGTTTGGGGCCCACGCTGGCTAACAATGTGTTGTTTGAACCTGAAGAGTCTACCTGGCTGCTCCTGGACCCCCTCGTGGCCCTCAGGGTGGCCAACGCGCGCGCACCCGCGCGACCGAGGCGGGAGACGCGCGCGGAGCTCCCCGTCGCCCCACTTGATGGGCTCCCCCAGCGCCCCATCGTCGCGGGGCTTCGCCATCGCCCCCCCGCGGCCTGAGAGGAGGGGGGAGGGAGGGGAGAAGGGAGGGAGCAGGGAGGGAGCATGGAGGAGGAGAAGGGAGGAGGGGGAAGGGAGTAGTAGTCGGGGAGCGAGGAAGAGGATGGAGGAGGGGGGATGAAGGAGGGCGGAAAGGGGGATGGAGGAGGCACCAAAACGACGATGAGTATGAGGCAGGAGGGGGTGGGATGCGAGAGGATCGGAGGATGATGATGAGGAGGAGGCATGAGGAGGATGCCACGACCGAGATGATGGTATTGGGACGGATCTCACTGGCCAGGACCCCTGCGCCCAGGCGCGATGAACCACGCAGCGCACAAGCGGAACGAGCCGACAAGGCCCCCCCCACCCCACTGGGCGCCAACGCCGGGAAGGGGCTGGCCCACCACAGACCCGAAAACGAACGAGCGAGCGAAGCAGCCGCCGCCGGGAAGCCGGCGTCAGAAAGGGAGGCTGGCGCGCTAGTCGCGCGCAGGCCTTCCGCGAAGACCACAGACCGAGAGGGGAGGTGAAGAGCAGACCCAGCCGCCTGCACGCGACGCCAGCAGCGCACGTCCGCAGCCCAGGCCCAGGCGCCATCGCGGGCGGGGCACGGCGGCGGGGCCCAGCCCGCCGCGCCTTCCCGCCGCGGCGAGGGCCACAGGATCCCGCCGCGGAGCTGCACCAGCGGGGGCCCAGCCGCGCGTGAGGCCGTGCACGTGCCAAGCGAGGCGAGCCCAGGCTGAAGCTGGCGCCTCGCCTCGCCTGCGCCCCGAACCCGCGGCGAACCGGCCCGCAGCCGGCCCCCGCCGAAGGTCGGCTGCGGGTGCGGCGGGGGAGGAGTCGGAGCTGCCCCGCGGATGTGGCTGCACCAGGTGGACCTGCGCGGCCGCGGGGGAGCGGGGGGACCGAGGACGGGCCGCGGCGTGAGAGGGGCCCGCCATCCCGCCCCCCCCAGGCTCCGGGCGTCGCCAGGTCTGCGACGCACAGGTGACGACCCCGCGCGTCCACATGGCCAGCGGCCGAACTTGAGGAGCCCACGTCGCTCATCCACAGCTCCAGCCGCGCGCGCGGCCGCGGGGCCTCCGCGGTGGGCAGGTCCTCGATCTCCTTCTTAGCGACGTCGTCGAATCCCAGCGAGACCTCGGGCGGGTCCGCGAGCCCCCCGCGCGTGCCAGCATCGCCCGACAGCACGCAGTGGCCCTCCGTGGGCAGCAATTTGGTGCCGTCGGCATCCACCATGGATATCATTCTCCTCGTCCTCTTCGAGGCCGACATTTGAGCCTGCCCAGGGCCTCGAGTTCCTCCAGCTGGTGCTCCAAGATTGAAGCAGCCCTCCATGTCCGACAGCACGCCGTGGCCCTCCGAGACCAGCTGTGCGGTGCCGTCGGCGACCTCCATCAGGCCCTCCGCGCCGACCTCGTCTTTTTCAGGGCCTGAGGGTCCTCAGCTGGTCTTCCAAGCATGCGTGCCAGCCACAACCCATTGCTGCCTGTTGCAGTGCTTCTGCCGCCGACGGGGGCATCGCCATTCAGAGGGTCGGGGACTCGTCCTGGCACGCAGACTCACCCATAACGGGGAGAAGATGAGGTGGATCCGTTGGTGCCCTCCAAGCCTGAATCTTTGGGCTGCCAGGATTGCGGGCTCAGCCCCGCCCCACGGTCGCCTGACCCCACGCGACTGGCCCGCAGACAGCAGAACGCTCTGCAGGCGGCGGCTAGGCCGCGTTGAAGACGCCGAGGGCGGCGGAGGACTGGTGCCCACTTCTGCTCCGCACGCTTCGGCACCCGTACTGCGGACTCCTCAGCTCGAATGGAGGGCCGCGGCCCCCAGAAACCGCGCAACCTCCGTGCGGGCGGCGTCCCCGCTGCTCCTCGGGGTGGTCCTGAGCCTCCGGCGCGCGCCGAAGAGCTTGACGCCGCAGTGCGAGAGCCTTCCGCGTGCCCGCCCGCATCATCGCAGCCGTCGGCCGCATCGACGGCCACGCCCTCCGACTCCCTCGACGGTCGCGCCGCCGCGGCCCAGCGCGCCGCCCAGCAACGCGGGGTAGTGTGGCGCTGGGGGGACGATAATGTTGACGACAAAGGGTGAGGCGGATGACGAGGGAGGAGGAGGAGGAGGAGGAGGAGGAGGAGGAGGAGGAGGAGGAGGAGGAGGAGGAGGAGGAGGAGGAGGAGGAGGAGGAGGAGGCGGAAGACGAGGAGGATGACGTGTTCAAATTGGAGGAGGGAGAGGAGGGGGAGGGGGAGGGGGGAGGAGGATTGATACTATCAACGTCGTGGGCCGAGGAGGATGAGGAGGGTGAGAACAATCAGGAGGAAAGCATCGATGATGATGCTCATTGTGGTGATGGGGAGAAATAGGCAGACGAGGAGGATGGGGTTCTATGTGGAGGAGGAGGAGGAGTCAGGAGGAAAGGAGTCGGGAGGAAGCCGAAGAGGAGACAATAATAATCTGATCATAATAATCATGATGGCCCGGTAAATTTTTCAGAGAGGAGAAGCGGGAGGAATCCATGAGGCGGCAACTGAGGACGATTATGAGCATAAAATGTCGACGCTAATGAATACGATGACGAAGACAAATCATAAAACAAGAGAGGATGAGGAGGATGAGGAGGATGAGGAGGATGAGGAGGATGAGGACGAGGAGGAGGAGGAGGAGGAGGAGGAGGAGGAGGAGGAGGAGGAAAAGGACCAGTGTAAACCCAAGAGTCATCAACGATGTTGGAATGGACCCTCCCTCCTAGCTCCCTCTTCATGGGCCCCTACAACTGTTCATCTCCATTGAGGGAACTGCCTCGTAGAAAATCAACCGCTTGAAGACCGGGAAGCATGCAAAAACATTGATCTCGGGATTTCCATCCCACGGATCAGCCTGACTGCTGCGTCTTGATGATCTGGAATCGTGCCAAAACGCCATTTTTGGGACTTCAGCACCGCGCATCAACATAACTGTTGCGCCCGCATAATCTAGAATCCTTTCAAAACACCATGTCTGGCAGTATGATGATGGGGACCCGTGAAATTCTTGCAAGCACTAAAAACGAATGTGCGCGGCGTTAAAGCGAGAACCACATTCTGGGAAGGAACCACCCCCAATCCGTGAAACTCTTGAAATTTCTATTAACGAATGTGCGCGGCGCGAAGGGGATTGCCACATTTTGAAAAGGAGCCGCCCTCCATCTGTGCAGCTCCTACAATTTTTGAAAACGAATGCGCGCGGCGCTAAGGCGAGAACCTCATTTTGAAAACGACTCGCCCTCAATCCGTCTTGCAAGTTTTGAAAAAGAATGTGCGCGGTGCTAATTCGAGAACCACATGTTGAAAACGTTTCGCCCCCAATCCGTGAAACTCTGGCAAATGTTTAAAACGAATGTGCGCGGCGCTAAAGCGAGCCACATGTTGAAAACGACCCCCCTTCAATCCGTGAAAGTCTGGGACATGTTGAAGACGAATGTGCGCGGCGCTGGAAAGGGAGAGCCACATTTTGAACATCACCCACCCTCCATCTGTGAAGCCGTTGCCAACTTTTGAGCTTCAGAATCATAAATGGTGAGGAAATCTCAAGCGAAACGCCTGGCCCGCCCTAAAACCTGGCCTCGGGGTGCGACAGGGAGAAATTATTCCTAAGGACAAGGACTGGAAAAGGAATGAACGAGGAGGAGGAGGAGGAGGAGGAGGAGAAGGAGGAGGAGGAGGAGGAGGACCAGCGCAAACCAAACAAATCATGGAACCCGTGCAACTCCTGAAACATGAAGCACGGATGTGCGCGGCGCTGAAGCGAGAGCCACATTTTGAAAAGCAGGCGCGCTCAATCTGTGAAGCTCTTGCAACTCTTTAGAACGAGTGTGCGCGGCGCTAAGGCGAGAACCACATTTTAAAAATGAGCCGCCCTCAATCCGTGAAGCTCTTGTACTTGTTTAGACGAATGTGCGCGGCGCGAAAGCAAGAGCCACAGTTCGAAAAAGGAACCACCCTCCGTCCGTGAAGCATCTTCATAAAAAACGAATGTGCGCGGTGCTAAGGCGAGAGCCACATTTTGAAAACGTCCCGCCCTCCATCTGTGAAGCTCTTGCGAATCTTTAGAACGAGTGTGCGCGGCGCTAAGGGGAGAACCACATTTTTAAAAGGAGCCGCCCTCAATCCGTGGAGCTCTTGTAACTAAAAAAAACATCGAATGTGCGCGGCGCTAAAGGGAGAGCCACATGTTGAAAACCTCCCGCCCTCCATCTTTGAAGTTCTTGCAAACTCTTAAGCTTCAGAATCATAAGCGGTGAGGAAGTCTCAGGCGAAACGCCTGGCCCGCCCTAAGAACTGGCCTCGTGGTGCGACAGGGAGAAGTTATCTATAAGGACAAGGAATGGAGGATGATGAGGCGGAGGAGGCGGAGGAGGAGGAGGAGGAGGCGGAGGAGGAGGAGGAGCAGGAGGAGAAGGAGGAGGAGGAGGAGAGGGAGAAGGAGGAGTAATCACAACACGATCGAGGAGGAGGATGAGAAGGAGGAGAGGGGAGGGGGAGGGGGGTGTAGAAGGAGGACGGTTATGATGATGGGGTGGAGGAGGAAAGGGTGAATATCAGCAGGGAAGAAAAACAAGACTTCGTTAGAGCCATGTACATAGTCTTCAAGCAGACACAACGCTCCCGTAAACCTCCTCATCCTCTTCTGTCGTCATCCGTCATTCCCTTCCTCCCTCTTACTGGAAGAGGAAGCGGGGGAGCAGGTTAAGGGAACATGGGCACATGCATTTGAGCATTTTCATGAGCAAGTGACTCCCACCAACCCTCTGGGCGAAGGTGGTATTACGGGTTTTCTCTTCCCTCTTCCAACTCAGCCCCTTTTTCCCCTACTCGAAAAGGGGTTTACCCCTCCCCTTAGATTGTCAGAGGGTCCTTTTTGGCTCAATATGGATCGAAGGGGGCCCCAGCTGCTACAACATGGCCTCCGAGATGGCTCAAGATAGCCGAAGATGGTTCAAGACAGCCTCTGGCATACCTCTGAGACGCTCCAGAACGGCCACAAGACGGCTCCAAGAGCCCCGTGGGAGGGGTGAAACGCGTCCCAAACCATTGGGTCAACAATGATTTTTTTCTTTCTCACCTTTTCGCTTGTGCTAGGCCTCTGAGGCCTCAAAATGGCCCCAAGACATATGGACCGGGAGACCGAGGAGGGGCCCAAGAGGGCGGCCCCACGACCCCCCCAAGAGGCAATTTTTCAGCCTCCGGGGGCGGGGGGGGAGAGGGGAAAGCAAAACTCCGAGCCCCCCCCACCTTTTGAGCCATGTGGCCAAATGCCGCCCTCAGAGAGCCCCAAGAGGCCCAAGAGGATCCCAAGATCCCCCACTAAGAAGGCCACCAGGGCCCCAAGGGGGCCCCAAGAAAGAGAGCCCCAATCAAACCCCAGGAATGCCCCAAGAAGACCTCAAGATGGCTCCAAGAATTCTCCCACTAAGCTCTCACAACAAAACATCCGCGAAGGTAACCTCCGCCTCCATGCCTTTCTTCTTGCCTCCTCCTCCTCCTCCTCCTCCTCTTGTCTCCTCCTCCTCCTCCTCCGCCCTCTTGCTCTTCTTCCTCCTCGGCCCCCACCCCCGCCCAAGAGATGGCCCCAGGAGGCCATCCAGCGACGCCCCCATCGCTCGCAGAGAGCTCAGTTCACCCTTGTTGCCCCCTTTGTTTCACTAGATGTGTCGCCTTCTCCTTTCTCCCGTCAGCTCTCATGGGCATCGTTTCTGGATGGGCTGGTGGGGATACGCGAATTGGTAGTAATGCTCAACCTATATGTACACATCTGTATATACGCACAAACGTATATATGTACATCTCTCTCTCTATATATATATATATAGACGTACACACAACAGTATACTCATGAGCAGGTGTATTCATCTACAGGTGTGTATATGGGCACATCTACACACACGCGACTATGGTTGCGTCGAAGCTTAAGTAAAGAACAAAAGGACGGAGGACGCCCCGGGAGCAATACCATAACGCCCAGCGTCTCCCCATCTCCTCCCTCCCCCTCCCCTTCCTCTCCCCTACATGGCGATGGTGTGGTGGGTGGGTGGGTGGGCGGGGGGGATGATGAGGTTGTTGATGCTGATGGTGATGGTGATGATGATGATGATGCTGATGATGATGACGATGATGATGATGATGATCATGATGATACTGACGATGATGGCGATGATGATAAGGAGAATGATGCTGCTGCATCTGATGATGCTGCTGATGATGCTGATGTTGTTGTTGATGATGACGATGATGACGACTAGGAGATTGATGCTACTGGTGATGATGATAATGACATTGGTACTGGTGATGATGATGCTGCTGCTACTGCTGCTGCTGCTGACGTTGATGAGATGATGCTTCTGTTGGTGATGCTCATGCTGATGCTGATGATGACGACGTTTATGCTCTGCTGCTGATGATGATGCTGCTGCTGATGATGATGGTCATGATGCTGACGATGATGATGATGCTGCTGATGATGATGCTGCTGCTGATAACAATATGACGATACTGATGATGCCTGTGATGCTGCTGCTGATGGTGATGATGATGCTGATGCTGCTGATGATGACGATGCTGATTGTGATACTGGTGATGAAGAGGAGGAAGAAGACCATAAACGAGGAAACGAGACTCGCCAATCCCCCCCCCGCCCCCTCCCGAGCAGCCTGCGGCGCCGCCGCGCGCGGCCGCGGCAGAGCCGCCAGGATCGAGGAGCGCGGGGCCGCCCCAGGCCTGAGCC